TTTTTGATCAATGGAGACACCAATCACATTATTATTTTGGAGACTGATCATAATTCTTATACAGAAGAAATGAAAAAACAGAGAAGGTATGTGTTAAAATTATTAGATGATCTATGTAGAGCTTAATCTTTATAAACTGAATTTCTTAAATATAATGGAATTGAATTTAAATTTTTCCTGAAAAATGTATAGCTCACTAGGATATTTCATCTGATGATAAAAATACACATGTAACTGAATTAATTGTGGATACTCCTGCAGTACTGATTTTATTAAGTTATATCTAACAACATATACCATCATTATGTAGTTTTTTAAACGAGATTGTTTATTTCAGAGTCCAAATGGCACAAGAGATGCGAGAGGCTGCCGCAGGAGGTGGGCCAGAAGAGCAACAATTGGCCAACGAAATGGCGGACGCGTTTTTGTCTGACATTCTCCCAGAAAATGTATTTTCTTCACCCAAAGCTGGGGCAGGTAAATATAAATTTATTAGAACAGCTCTCAAAATTATTGTTGTACATTAATATCTTGAAATTCTTTTATACTTTGCCACATTCTCTGGGCAAGAGCAGTCTGCATAAAGCAAACTGACTCTAATCGATTGTGGCGACATTAAATCTTTGCATTAATCCCAAATGATTTTTGTAAATCATTTGATTCAAGCAGTAGATACATTTATTGTTAAATAAACATTAGATAAACGTCTCATCAGAACATTGCTGAAAACTTACTTTTCTTTTTAGGCATGTGGGCGTCTCAAATCCGCGTAGTGGACATGAGCAGCGGCGAGGCAAGCACCTTGTGCAAAGTGCAACTGGAACAGAACGAAGCCGCAGTGTCCGTGTGTATTGTGCGTTGGGCTGTACACGGAGAACACGCAGTTCCGCATTTGGTTGTTGGCGTCGCCAAGGATATGGTGCTGTCTCCTAGGACTTGTAACGAGGGCAGCCTTGATGTTTATAAGGTAATTGTCTTTAGTAGCGTTTTTTATCTTTTTTATTGGATTTTATTTTGTTTGAGGTGGTCAAATAACTGCTACCTCAATTCATTAGACAATAGACTTTAAATACAAATAAAATTATATTGTTTCAGATATATAACACAGGTAAATTGGAATTAGTTCATAAAACTCCAGTAGACGAATACCCCGGAGCATTGGCTGCCTTCAATGGACGTCTTATTGCTGGAGTAGGTCGAATGCTTCGTTTATACGACATTGGTCGACGGAAACTTCTTAGAAAATGCGAAAACAGACACATTCCTAACCTAATTGTAGACCTTAAAACTAATAGACAAAGAATATTTGTATCGGATGTGCAAGAATCCATATTCTGTGTAAAATACAAGAAAAGGGAGAACCAGTTAATCATATTTGCCGATGATACAAATCCTAGATGGATAACCAATACGTGTATTCTTGATTACGACACAGTAGCAATGTCGGATAAGTTTGGGAATGTCGCTATTATGAGGTTGCCGCACTCTGTCACTGATGATGTTGATGAGGATCCTACTGGAAACAAGGCTCTTTGGGATAGAGGTTGGTATATTTAAAACAATTTGATAAAAATATATTTGATTTACAGTAATGTGAAGTCACAGAGACTGCCTATGATTGATAAAAAAGCAGACTAAATTTTGATGTTACATCTTAAGACTGTCGCCATACAATATTTAGTAGAATAGCAAAATAAAAAAAAAGACATATAGTCATTAACGTTTACATTTGAAAAATTAAATAAATATGTAATTATTTATTATTATTCTCTTACATTAATGTAACATAAATTATATTTAGTTAAAATTATATATCATTATATATTTAGAACATCTCTACCAAACACCAAAAAAATTTTTTTTTTTTTTTTTTTTTTTTTTTCACTTAAATTATAAACTTGAAAAAATAACCTTTATTTTTTAAAAGGTAAATGACAAACATTATGGTATTCAAAACAAGACTCACATTTTTACTTTAGATGTATCCCCCACGACAATCACACCCATTTCCGCGCGCGCACCGTAAAATCCCCCCCACAAATTTTTCAACCCCTAAAGAAGTATAACTTCAAAAAAGTTAAAAAAATGAGAATTTGCTTAGTGTACATGATGATACCACTAAAATTCACACATGCTAGACTAATGATCACATATGATTATTTTTTATATCTGAAGTATTTCCTGACATGTGTTGCCACAACTTGTATAGCGACATTTATTAATAATAGCAAACTTTTAGGTTTACTGAATGGAGCATCTCAAAAGGGAGATATGGTGGCCAATTTCCATGTTGGGGAGACTATAACTACGCTGCATAGAGCTACCCTCATTCCAGGAGGTTCAGAGGCCCTATTGTATGCTACTTTGAGTGGATCCCTGGGAGTCCTTTTACCTTTCACTTCAAGGGAAGACCATGATTTCTTCCAACACTTGGAAATGCATATGCGAAGTGAAAATTCCCCTCTATGTGGCAGAGATCATTTGTCGTTTAGGAGCTACTACTATCCAGTTAAGGTTGGTTTTTACACTTATTTTTTTATTATTAATAAAAATCTATTATACTAAATATTTTTAAAGAAATTTGGTCAAATAACATATAGTTTAGGATTTTTATGTATACTCCGCGCTCCTTACGACTAAAATTTTTTAATATAAAAAAATTCCTGAAAACATTAAATTAAAAATGTGCTAAATTTTATTTAAAATTCTATTATTTTATTTTTCATAACATTGTACTGCTAGTGTTTTTTAGATTGCTGTCTGAGCCAAACTGGTTATTTATCTTACTGATAAATAAATGAAATATCCAACGCTTAAGTCAGCAAGCCAGCCCCGTGGCCGGTATGTGTTAGAGCGTTGGTATAGCGAGCGTCGTGGCGCGGTCTGCGTGCGTCGGCGTTGTGTCGTCGCCGCTCTTCGCCCACGAACGCATGCGCCCGAGAGTGGGACGTGGAGTGTTTCACCTCCCTAGTAGTGGCACGAACAAATCTTAAAAAAATTACTTAACATCTTTTAAAAAGTTCCTTAAAAAATTTGTGACCGCTATAGCACGCGTTTAGAGAAAAAATCCAACCAAAGCCGCCAGTATGTCGACAAATTTTACAATATCATTTAACCTAAATGAAATACTCTCGTAATACCGGAAACATTTTCAAACAGTAACGCTTTTGTAACATGTACCACTTTTGAAAATTAAGTAAAATGACATGAATATTACCAATAGTTTCGTAAGATTAGTATATGCTAAGTAAATAATTATTTTCCTTATTAACTCGTACTTTTTCAAAAAATTTGTTATTAAAGGTATATAATGTTTTTGTCGGTAAATTCGTAACTAACAAGGACACAAAAAAATTTCAAATTATAAATATTTTGTAATCAAACGTTTCAAGTCTATTCAACTTCTTGCGCTTTATTTTGGCCATGGCCATGTAGAAAACATTACCAGATGCATAAAAACAAATCTAGAATTACACAGCAGATATTCAAAATTTGTTTTGTTTCAGAATGTGATTGACGGAGACTTGTGTGAACAATTTAATTCGCTGGAGCCGTCGAAACAAAAGGCGATCGCCGGCGACCTCGAAAGGACGCCCGCCGAGGTGTCAAAGAAACTTGAAGATATTAGAACTCGCTACGCCTTCTAATTTTGTTGCTAGAATTATTTATAAGGAAATAAAGAATAAGTCAACTCATGTATTGTTTTAATAATAAAATTCTTCTTTCAATTTTCATTCAAATTTAAGTCAAATCATAGCATATAAATCATGCCTTTAAACATCCAGTTGAATATCCATGATATTACGGCATGTCCATTAAAACAATCGGTATTTTTTTAATAGAGATACTTGTATATGCTATACTAACTATACAGGATTTAATTTATCGGAATACATTTCAATGATAATAATTACATCAGTGACCACGCTCACAATGCAGTTAATCGTCATATCAGCTGTTATGCTTATCTGACTGATAGGTACAAAAATGTCTCGCAAATTTTAGGTGAAAGAGATGCAATATAAATGTGTACCTAAATAGCATTCAGCGTTAAATGCATGAATACACGCAATATCTTAAAAGCGTGTAACCCCGTTATAAGCCTCTAGATCACTTTCAAGTAATAAATTTGTTTTCTAAGTGAAAACCATTGCAAAAATTATTTACCATTCACTGTTTTTGAACAAGTTAAAATTATAAATATCTACATCTTTAAGCGTAAAGATTTTGCTTTGGTTACGGTATAAAAACAAATGCATCCTAATTAGTAAATATCTTTATATTATATCTAACGGATAATAATTAACGCACTTTCATACGTCTTGTAATTAAAAATCATATCGCGCGTGATATTGAATACAATCATTTAATGCTTTCTACCGAAACGTTCTAAAATGATTTACTATATCATTAGTGTACAGATGTACTACTTGAAAACACCGTGCCAACACGCTATGTTAGTAGGTTAAATTAATATTTTATAACAATTTACTTGTCAAGACATGGTGGCCTAAATGCAAATGAGAAAAAAGCCACACTTCCTTACGAGCACGTGAAAACAGACGTTTCTATGACTACCATATCGACCAGCGGCTTTTCCGAGGCTTTCGTTCAACTTTACGTGACATGCTGAAACAATGAACTGAAATTATTGTATTCGCACGCATAGCGTCTAATGTTTAGTACGGCGCGGTTCGCATACAACTTGGTAGTTGGTACCTACGCTATATAGTCATTTCAGAGCGAAACTGAGAATAAACAAGTTGTGTCGTAAAAAATGTAATTTTATAGGAATTTAAATGCAAGTGCATCAACGCAGCGGCAACGGACAATGAATGCACGCGCGAAACGAACCGCGACGTGCGACCGTCGATGCGCGAGAGTCCGTTTTTAAAAATCACTCTGGAGCGCACATTTGCCGGTGCACCGTAACTCCACTGCGGTTGGAGGAAACGTGTGCAATACGGGGCATTAGAAAGTGTAATGTATGGTGAAGTGCGATGTTGTCAGTCAGCAAGCCGGTGTCGCTAGTCCAGCAGAAGAAACAGCAGTGGGCGCGAGAGAGAGGTGAGTGCTTCTTCACGCTAGCAGCATCACATATCAGGTAATTTCGCCTTTATTACAAATTCTTATCTAATCCGTAAGAAAAAAAAATACTCTCCTTTATGAATCCCCACAATATGTGTATGTGTCATACATAATACATTATGTTTTAATAGTCTGAAAAAAATATTGTACCTACATGTTTTATGGGCATAATTTATTTAATAAACAAATGTATATACATATATCATTTTTATGCTAGAATATAGGTATAAATATTTAAAACAAATTAATTATTCTTATAATCTTTCGTTTCTGTAGGATAGGAACCAATTGAATAATTTTACATATGGCCCAGGGTAATCTCTCTGTTCACGCACGAATTACGACTGCAAGCAAGGATGCAAGGCTAAACCGAAAAAAAAATACGCTGAACACCATTTGGGCATAAAGACGCGATTGTTATTAAATCATAACACTGTTCATTCTAATATGGCGCCAATACGCGCTCAGCAATTAATTTTAAACTAGACCAACATTTAATGATAAGTAGAATTTGCAAGATCGTATAACGAGGCCCGTATAATGGCATATTTTATTGCAACGCTCTCGTGCGCTTATAATCACTGACCGTAGTGTTTTTGTTATATTATGTTAACGGTACGATGAATTCTTTACGTAATGCAAAATTTAATACAGACAATAATCTCTGAAGACTAATTGTAAAATCCAGCGAAAACATAATATTACAACCATTACATTCCGTATGTCCCACATTCGTTTCCCCTTGGTATAATAATTTTATCAGATAGGCACAGAAGCCTGCACCGAATAAATAAATTGAGATCGGTTATTCGGGATTAGTTAAAGTATAATTATCGGTTGGACATGTAATTTAAAGAATAAATTGGAAAGGCAGTTTGGGTAAAAGAAAAGCAACGAGAAAACTTACGCAATATGGGACGATAAAATCAAAAAGATATCGGGCAACAACTGGACAGTATTTAATTTTAAGCTACAAAGGCCTTTAAAAAAAATATGATTTAACATAAAGTAAATAGTCAATAAGACTAGATTAAAATTGTGTATTCTTTTGAAATATTACTTTTTTACTTGCTTAAGATATCTAAAAATATTCAACGCTGAATGAATAAAACGAAAGTTCATTAAAAAATCACGACTAGACTTCCAAAATATTGACTTTTGTGAAGGCTGTGCGGTCAATGCTTTCAATTTTAACCTTGATGGTCTAATGTCTGGGACATTCATTGTATGTATTGATTATTCGGTCGTCTGAAAAAAATTGAAACGAATATGTGTGTCCACATATTGTGGAATCTTTATAGTTATTTTTATGAAATGTATTTTAAAAAAGGAAAACTCGCAAAAATGTGTCATGTAATTCTCCGCAGATGAGTTTGCTTTCCAAACCCTATTAAGTATTGAGCAGAATATACCTGTGGTAATTAAAAAAAAACAGATGAAAAATCTAACGTTAATAAAAGTCATATGGATGGAGTATGGTGAAGGTAATACACACACACACGATTATTTACTTTAAAGACAATCAAAACTAAACCGATAACCGGCTTTTTGTTACCACACTATGTTCATAAAGAGATCATGAAATCGTTAATACCTATTCTTAATGTTTATAGGATTATAGGAAGTAAAAATTGATGTGGTCACCGTCAGTAGCTACATTGTGTTTTGTGAATAGGCAATAGAATCAAGTATTATTAGGCAACGGAAGTTTTCATTGTCATTCGTCAGGAAATCAAACATCAATTGATTACCGACATAGAGATTTCGATATATTGTCTGTTTGAAGTCCCGTTAGCCCTCAATCAGGCATGTGAACTTGGAGGACACATTTCTGCGTCTGCGGTTGCAATCAACTAAACAAAATACAGTCTGTAGCATGTATTCGTAAATTATACAAAGATAATATATTTATAGCAGTGTTGGCCTAGTGGCTTCAGCGTGCGACTCTCATCTCTGAGGTCGTAGGTTCGATCCCCGGCTGTGCACCAATGGACTTTCTTTTGTGTGATGTGCGCGTAACAATCGCTCAAACGGTGAAGGAAAACATCGTGAGGAAACCGGCATACCTTAGACCCAAAAAGTCGACGGCATGCGTCAGGTACAGGAGGCTGATCACCTACTTGCCTATTTTATCATGCAACAGATACAGCTGAGTTAATTTCAAGCTTGAGGTGTCGGTCGGTCGGCTGTTTATATTTTCCCAACAGAAAACTTGTAACCAACAAATCATTCGATAAAAGTAGGACGTAGACGTTGACCGGCGTTGATAAAATACTTGGAATTTCAAATTTATGCTATTTCAGACTGCGCTATTATATTCTACGGTGTAGCGTGCATGACCGATTGTGGTTCAACATGCGTTATCGACAAAACTGAAAACCCTCGACTAATGGGGTAAAGGGGAATTTTTAACATTTTTCTTTAACGAAATCTGAAAGTACCTCATTATAATTCGGCTTTAGTCGTGGGAGGTAGTGGAGTCATTCTCGATATATCCTTTTTTATACTAATAATGTAAACACTAACATTGATATTTCCGTTCCAGAAGAAATGTCACATCTCTACTTACCCTGGGGTTCCGGTGAGCGTTACACAAACCGCTTAACCGTACGTAACCAATTCGCCAGTTCTTTGGAGTTGCATAAACAGACGTGTGAATATACAGAACCAATCCAAAGGCAAAGAAGTCCTAGTCTACCGCCAATTCACAACATAGACTTAAACAAAACCAGCGACAAGAGGACAAAAGAAATTCTTAACAGAAATATTACTAGTGCGAAAAGATTCTCTTTCTACGACGAGGATCCAGAAGGCGATACTTCAGGATACGGCAGTGAGACAGTTAATCATATGCATCCAACTAATGGAACACGAAACCTCAATTCGGATGTAGTAGTAGCGTGGCAACAGGAAGAAAAGTCTAATAGGTAGGCATTTACAAAGAGGTCAAAGTAGGGTCAGTACTCCCATGTCTGGTTAATAGACTTCAAACAAAAGGTTTTAATTTCCTAAGCATACTTATTATCCTTATCATAGCTGTTTTTATCATGTTATAATATAATTGAGAGCGGTATGTAACAGATTATAATTGTACCCCAGGTACATCGCGATTATATATTCACATTTTTTTAAATGAAATTATAATGAAAAAATTTATCCTTACTTATTATTACGTGGGAAAGAATCATAAACATTTCCATTATAGAAAAAAGTTAACGACTGAGCATACAAGTATGGGAGATGGAGCTTGGTCAGCGCGCAGCTCTGGTGCCGAGGAAGGCCGGCCTCGTTGGGGTGATCGCGGGGTCGCGACAGGTCGCCTTTGGGAACCCACCGCACCCACCGCTAGACTGCCACAGGTATATTGAAATATAGATACCACCTAATATGTACACAACTGGCAGGTTATCTTACAAACGAAATTCTTTCATTTAAAGACGAATTCTATAACGCTAGAAAGTGCACAATGTAGAATTTACAGTTTTTATCGTTTCCATAATTTATTGTCACTTCACGTTTCACTTCTGATTTCTTATTATAGATGCCAAATCAAAATAAGGGTACCCCGGCTTGGGTAGAACGCGGACTTAATAATATGATAGATAATTCATCCGACGTATTAGCTATCGACCAAAGAAGCTCTGTTAATTCTGGCTTAGATTTTGATAAATCATCCTACAATGGGAGTGATGAAGGAAGGTAAAAAATTTGCATATCTCAAAATAAAAGAATTCTATTTTAAAAGTCACTTTAACTAACTACGATATTTTCATAATATTTTTTGTTTCACTTGTCACTTGTTTTTAGATCATATCTCAGAGGACAAAATGTTCCAATAGAGCCGGAAGTCAAAGCACAAAGAGAAACAAAGAGGTTAAAAGCGTTAGAATTACAAAATGTTATCCTTAATCAATTAGAGGAGCGTGAAAAGCGTAAGCAAGAAGAAAAAGAACACAGATTAAGGGAAGAACGACTTGAAGAGCTGAGAATAAAAAGACAGCAAGAAGAAGACAGAATAAGAATAGAAGAAGAAAAAAGACGAAATGAAGATCGCCAAAAACTGGAACAACGAAAATTGGACGCGTTAAAAAGGGCACTAGAAGATGCAGAAAAGAAGGCGAAACAGGAAAAAGACAAAAGATTTAACTGTATAAAACAAGCTACTGCCGTTTGCAAAGACAATATAAATATCGTTGAAAGCAGTAAAACATGTTATGAATCTGTAAGGTGCAGCCCCACAAAAGTCGTCAGCCCAACCAAATCTAGCCGAACATATGACGTTCACTCCGCTCACAGCCTAAAGAAAGATACTGCATCGCAACCTACGTCTACCTACAACTCACCGCGATCCATAACAAATGGAAATTTAAATTTATTTATTCACAATGTTCCCCCACTTAAATTGGCCGATAGCCAAGTTAATATAGTCCCAATCGGCATAGCTGGCTCTGGCGAAATTTTAAGCGGCCAACAAAATACAATACAACTAGCTGTATTAGTACCACACAACCTAAATAATAATTATTTTAACGTCTCTGTAAACTCAGGTGAAAGCTCGGACGTTGGAAAAGTATTAACTCCTCGAAAATATCGCGAACTGAGAACTAAAGATGTTGCAACGCAAACTGACGAATTGCCTAAGAACAATATTGATGAAACAAGGTTAAGAAATGATAATGAGAGGTTTGTGGATAAAGAATATTCTAACATTGATGAAAACGCACCCCAAGAAATTAACAGAAATTCTTTAAAGAAAGACAAACGGTTAAGATCTGAGGAAAGATATAAAAAAGATATAGAAAACCGTCCAAAATGGGGTGCAAACAGACCACAAGCCCAGTATAAAAAACAGAGCGAAAAGGATCCATTTTATACGCAAAAGCGAAAATTGCGTCACAAACATAAATCACAAAGGCAATACTTATCTCAGTCTAGTGATGATAGTCGGTCTCCAAGTCCACCAACAAGGTCTGATAAAATCTCGGAAACTAGTTTTAGACCAAGAAATTCACTCAGTCAATCGTATTGGAGAAGTAAACACAACTCACAAGATCCTAAAAACGGAAACGAAGAAGAAAATGAGATCAATGTCCAAGAGTTCATATCTCTATCGCAAATTACGAAAAATGAGAAATACGACCAAAAATCTTTAAACAAGTTGTCTCCAACAAAACGAATAACATTGTCACAGAAATTTATAAACGATAAATACGGAAGCAGAAGGCTCTGGCAAGATGACTCTAATGAAAAAAATCTAAAATACAGTGATATTGGAATACCTAAGAAAATTTAAGTATTAATTAATGACACTAAACGACTGAACAATATGGTTTTATTATACATATCAAATTTGTACCTTTTAAGAATTTTTATAAATTATTTTTAGTGTCTAAGTACCATAGTTGCATTATGAAATAAACTCTTGTGCAGTACGCGAAATATGCTCTATTGATTCCACAATATCCAAGGAAACGTTCGAATCTTGAAAATCAATAGTCTTGCTAACTAAACTTACAGTCAGCTCAGAATATAATAAGCAGTTCCCAAATAATGACGTCGAAGTTGGATGATTTATTCGATAAAAAGAAAGATGAAGCACCTATGCTTGATTTGTCTAAAGTCGTTATAAATACAGCAGAAGAATATAGAGCAGTATTGGATAAGGTTCCCGAATTTAAGACACGTCCAGAAAAGGTGAGTGAATAAACGAATTATTTTTGTTTAACAAATAAAATAAGTAGAGTTAAAAAAATACGAGACGTATAGTGTCAAACCTAATAATAGCAACTTTATGATCACAGTTTTCATTACGAGCGAAGGTTTTTGTTGTGACTGGGTATCGATATTTGTTTACAGTAGATACTACCGGGGTCCATTGGGCCCCAATTATAAGGCTTAATACAAATTTCTGAGATTAGATACAGCGGTGTACGAAACTGCTCGTACAAATAAAACACACTTTAACAACTTGGGATATTAAAGCATTGCTTAATTAGTTATGAAACAGATTTATAAACTACCAATATATTAGAATTAAAAAACAATAAAATTATTCAAAAATCAAGTTAGTGTTGATAATAATAATTGTTGTATTTGCAGGTTAGAGCTGATGACATAAAAATTAAAGATAGAAAAGAAGATCATAAAACAAAAACACCCCGAAAAGAGATACGGGCTTACGAGAAGTTAGGTACTCGTGGCTATGAAGAGAAACAGTTTACTTTTATGGATCCTATCCCAGTAGAAATGCAAGGTCTGAAGTTTGAAGAGCTTTGCGCCGTTCCCATTGAATGGCGGATGCTTACATCTGTTCGGCCAAAATCAAAACTTGATGAAGAATATTTCAACAGGTAAAGACTCGCTCTGAATTTTTAATGGGGTTATAAAAAAAAACGCAGGGAAACTAGAAACTGTTTAAAGAAAGCTGATTTCTGAGTTAGGCTGGAAAAATATAAACTAAATCAGGCTGTTCTATTAGAGCAGTAATTGATTTAAGACTATTTTTTACATAACTCTAACATTGATTTACTACCCGGTATACTGAAATCTCATAGGGTTAGCAATTTTACATTGTTCTATGTGGAATGTGTCGCTACTCGCTAGTGCCATTAATGTGATATTTCAGGTTGATTGAATTAGGCAAATCAGAGTTAAAAACAAGAGCGAAAGAGAAGCGGGAAAACGCGAAAAATAATATGGTGAGAAAGATAAAGAATCGATCTGGAGTAACGGAAACTCGTGTTGTATCGTGCGCTGAATGCGGTGAAGAGTATTGTAATGGTAATGTAAATTAAACTTACATTAATATTTATCTATTTGCGGACCTAATCATTCACGTTATTGATTATTATTATTGTTGTTGTAGGTAAAATGTGTACGATAACAAACTACGACATGTTTGCACGTTTGAAGTTAGATATAGAGCCTAAGACAAGACGAGCGCAGGCTGCCCCCTCTCAGGTCAGCAAACTACGTCGGATGCGTCGCAGACCGCGACGTAAACCACGCAGCAAAAGTGCGGCACCGACCTATAGAAAGTCAACTGGGAAAGGGACTAGAAGTGATACTGAACTCTAAAACTTGTATTGATGATCAAATGATAATCTGTTCAAATTACATGCTTGTTAAATTGTGTTGTTTTCTAAGAAAATTATCTGTAAGTTGTGTTGACGAGTTAGTGATTTAATTTTCAATTATAATCAGGCCGTAGGTTGCTAAGCACTCAACAGTAGGCTCATTACGGTTGTTATCCTAATTCTGTAAAAATTTAGTTTATCATTTAGTTCATTCTGTCAAATAATTGTATCATAATCCTACACTGACGTTAAGGGTAGATGTTAAGTAGGTGACTGATATAACGAGACTACTATCGAAATTTTATATTGTAAATAGCATTGTAAGCAAGGAACAAGTATGTAATAAATCAGTATATAATATAGTATGAATCCTTTAGATATTATTATGCCCCAATTGATGAATTAATTACAAGTACGCGAGTAGATTGTCAGTTTCTTGACGACGTGATGTCAAATTTAATCTCAGTATTTCTTAAGACTTAAAATTCTGCTACCTACGCCAGGTTGTGCTTTTGTACACTTATTCATGGAAAAAATATTTAAATTAGTATTAACTTTAATGTTGTTATAAAATTTTCGTATTGTGTAAAATAATTAAAAATGTCTAGTCGATGTTTATACATAATTCTCATTTTTGTACTAATTAAATTGCTAATTAAACATCTGTTTTATTACACTCATATATATTTCCTATAATTAATTTGATTACTATTAAGATGACAAGACTGACGCCTTACAGGACATCGCCTTTTTAAGGGATAAATGAAAAACGATTAATCAATATCACTCTTTATTGGATTTTAAAAAAATATTCATTACACATTCAATGTTTAGAACCTATGAACAGTAACATTATTAAGATATATCATCTACATTTGTATCGAATGTGAAATTTTCTTCAATCATATTATGTCCCCAAATATTAAAAATAAAATCGTGAAGCAGTATCAGTGTGCCAATTCTTGTCTCAAATTTGTAAAATAAAGAATTGAGCACACCAAACATAAACTAACCTAAAATATGCTAGCAAACTTAGGCCCTAAGTACCCACCTTAAATTAAATGAGCACAATTTTAGAAACATAACTGAAAAATAAAACCTTTTAAATCTCTTGATAAAACACAGGAATAACAATATAAATGGTAAATCTTAAGTATGAAGAAATTCTTTAAAACTATAGTATTGCAACTAAAGAGTATAAATGATGAAATAAATAAGCAATAAATACAGGAGATAGCATAAAGATTTTTATTTAAAAAATAGCTTATCCGTGTAATTTAAATTCACGTCTTAAATCCTCTTAACATATTTCTACGGTTGTCTATTGCAAGTTTGACACAAGCTGTAGTCTACTGTTTAATATTGAAAAATATCTTAAACAGTTGGATCAGATTGCAGTAGACGAAGATTTATATAGTTCCAAGATCAATTGTAGGCACTATGGAGTGAATGAAAGAGGCGCTTAGGCAATTAAAAAACCCAACACGGCTTATCCAAACTTTATCATCTATATTGACACAGCCGTCAACCCCAATTATAATAAACTTATTTTAAAAATTCGTAGTCTTAGCTATCAATGTATTACTAATGATCTCACTCGAACTATTTCAGTATATCGAAATTAGATTTTATGTAATATTACAAATATACCTCTTGATCATACATTTCTCTTATACCTAAGTATACAAAATAGGAATCTGCAATAAAACATGGTCGCTTCATGCTGGCAACGTTTTATATGGAATATCATTAGACATGTTCAAACGAATAGAAATTTTAAGAGATCGAAATGTATGGACTAAATTGACCGACAGGCCCAGAGATGGGATTTGATTTCGAAAATGGATTTTTTTAGGACGATGCATATTTCGAACAACTAAAATAAAAAATGAGTATCGAATTGTACATTTAATTTTATATAATACAACCATTTTATTTATTGCATTTTGTAAAGATAATCATGAGTGAAAATGAATGGTTAAATACGACTAGACAATTGTTTCAAATTCCATCACTGGGTATCATCATTAAGGTGTCGAATTAGGTCCGAACCATACTATTTGGCAGTTCTAGGAGATCTTCAGTTTGCAGAAAAATGCCAATTTAAATATAGGTTAGGTTATATAATGGAATGGATACACTTACTACTAGAAGCACCAAAAATTCTTCATCATTTATAATTATGTTAGTCGAGGTGAGATTATCAACTAATCATCTCTGCCTATAAATAATTTAACTACTAATTCAAATTCACACCCAAAAATATTGCAGATTCCGAAAAACACTTAATGACTTATAACACAAATTAAAAAATCGTAAGTTTCAATGAAAAAACAATTATTAAATTATTAAAAAAACAATGTCATAACATAAAATATGTAACTAAAACATGGACGTATGTATTATGAATATTATGCAATGTTAATAATGACCACGCTTTATAAACATCATGCTATACAAAATAAATAATAAAATTATAAAGAACATTTTTTTCAAAGTTATTCTTTACTTAAAGAAAACTTAAAATGTCATGTCGCTAGGAATTGAATGTGTTTACAAGCGTGGTGCAGGCATTCAGCTAACTCTGTCAATGTGAGGCGACTCACTGATCCTTGCGCGCTTTCTTTTTGCTCTTCTTAGATACTTTCGCTTCGGACCAAGTATCTGTAAACGCAGATGTACATAAGTACTATAGACGAAGCAATTACTTAGCACGAACTCTACGTTAATTTCGTCAGGTACACCTATACGATTTAATCACTGACAGCTTCTCGATTTTCCTTACAATTTACTATACATAGTTATTCGAAAATAAACTATTTGAGACAGCGTTTAATTTCAAATAAGTGCTGCCCCTTTTCCATCCTATCCTAATAATAATCTAATCTATCCTTACTATTCTTTTACGTTAATTATTTCATTTTACGTATTGCTTTTGTTAAGCTCTACAAATCTGAAATGTGGATCTCTCTTTGTCTGTCTACGTGAAAACTTTTATTTTAATATAAGTTCGGAACGGGCTTTGATGTAACGAATTATGACTACTTAATAACATTGCCGGGACTTTATAATTTGTATTTTATTTTATGGAAACGAGAAAACTTCAATGATGACAAAAATCAACCTACATATATAATATTTAAGAGCGGACTTTGTTTTTTTTTTAAATTATTTTTAACTTAATTTTTTGTATATATGTATTAATGCAACTACTCATTATTTATTCATTACTTAATTATTTGTTATATTTAACAATACCTATGCACGATTTAATGCTGAAATCGATTGCAAAGCTACCACATTAGCATTTACGTGGTAAATTTCGCGAATACATGCGGAAGCTAGAAGTCAAGATTATCCCTCGTGTTCCTCTCGGACTAAACTTTTAATTACTAACAGTTTGCAAATAAAAAGAGTAAATTCCAAAAGTATGTTTTTCAATTGTTACCTTTTCAAAATTATAAAATAAAGCTTGTTTGTAATTTTATTAGTAAAAAATCACTTACCTCCAAGCTCATCAAACACAGGAACAGTCTTCTCTTCCTGTTTGTCAGAGTCGGAGTTCTCTTCCGACTTTGGCACACTCTTTGCTACAACAGCCTGAAAATAATAAGCTTAATACAATAATCTCGTTAATAATACACAACGAAATACGAATTCTCTGATTTATCTTGTGTTAGTATCTGGTGCAGTGCGAGACAAGTTGTATGTATGGTGCTGTTTTACGGTCTACGATTGTTATCATTACCTTGGTTTAGTAGGTGTCTATCTTTTTCACCCAGTCCTAATAATTTGATATAAGTACATAGACTAAAGGCACAATTTAATATATCTGTTTGTGATATAAAATAAATCAATGGAGCTACAATCATTTTAGGTCTGGGCCTCAGATTTCTGTATCTGTTTCATGATCATTTTGGTAATCTAATAGATCACCTTCTGTGCCTAACACACGCCGTTGATTTTTTGGGTCTAAGGCAAGCCGGATTCCTCACGATGTTTTCCTTCACCGTTCGAGCGAATGTTAAATGCGCACATAGAAAGAAAGTCCATTGGTGCACAGCCGGGGATCGAACCTACGACCTCAGTGATGAGAGTCGCACGCTGAAGCCACTAGGCTAACACTGCTCACTGCACTGCTGTTTGTGACATACAATATTTTAAAGTGAAATTAAGACCATACTTTTCATGAGCACATAACACTACATAGTCTCTCGTTAACCACAACGTTATTCACTTGAAAGTAAATAAATGATAACACCATTAATTTTAACGCATTAGGATTTCTTTAACAGCAAATTAATTATAACTATATATTTTTTCATTGTTTGTAAAAGTATATACCTCCTTCTTCTTGTTTTGTTTTTCCTTATTTTCATTTTTCTTGTTGCTTCGTAGGTCCTTAACTTCCGTGAGCTCGTCCTCTGGGGCATCGTCTTCCTCTTCTTCGGCAACCAGTTGTTCACGGTCACGACGTTCAGCCTGCATAAAATTATATTGATAATCATCTATTAATATCTATTAACTAGATAATTATCTAGTTAATAAAATAGCATTGTATATGAACCAAGTTCCCAACTCTGCGAAAATTATCATGGGGATGTGTGTGTTATTTCATAATTATGTATGGTTGGTAAACTACTATCATCACAGATTGTACAATATTTTTTAAATGTATGGGTTATATAAAATTAGTTATTATTATCTTAGTGGATATGATAAAAACCAATATACAGCCCAACACTATTTTAATAGTAAAAACATATTAGAATAAACCTATATCAACTCATGCATACATCTACTGATGCTACTTATGTTAATTTGTCTTTCTTGCGATTCTCAGTATCTATTTCGTTTTAAAGGCTGGTAGGTATTCAGCCTCTTTATTATCCTGTCCTTCGTTGTTGATTTATGTGTCTAAGACATGCACATCATGGTTTCTTCACAATGTTTTCGTTCGCCATATGAGCAAGTATAACTGAACATACATACATCAAAACAAACATATTATATTAGTGCACTGCCAAGATTCATTCTTATTTCAAATGTTTAAGGCATGCACTATATTATCTCAATTTAAAAAAAAAACAGAAATTGGTTTTTAAAAGATTCTAATCAGAAATTTGTATATTAAATTATGAGTTATTATTTTGCAGCATATCCACTAACTAGAAAGTTGAAAATCTTGTAACCTATATTATATAATAAAATCTTTTAAACACATATTACACAAATCAAACAACCAAGAAAAATACTGCCAAGCCCTGGAGTTAAATAATCCATTCATAATTTTATTTATGGTAATTGAAATCATGAGTATTTTATGTAAATAAACTTGTTTAAAACACTTTAGAACTTACCTCCTTCAGAACTCTTTGTAATTCTTCAACTTGGGCCTGCAAAGCTCTAGCAGCATCTTCGTCTACATCAGGACCTACAGCACTAATCACCTTGATGGTTTCTTCAGGAACTTCTGCTGATTCTTCAACTGGGGAAGTATCAATACCATTCTCTTTAACCTTGCTTTTCTTGCTCTTCTTGACCGGACTTTCCTTCTCATTGCCCTTTACTTTCTTCTTATCACTTTTCTTTGGCACTTCTTCCCATAAACCATCATCGTAATCAGCCGGTTTCTCCACTTCTGCTACTTTATTCTTTTTTACCTTTTTTTCAGTAACAACTTCCTTCTTGGCTGCTTTAGGTTCAACTTTCTCTTTTGGCTTTGGTTTTTCGACTTCCCTCTTTTCCTTTGCTGGAGATTTCTTGTTATCACTTTTGCTCTTACTTTCATCACTTGATGTGCGATTAGGTGAAGATTTCTGAAAACATAAGGAATTAAACAATAACAGATATCCATGATTATTAATTTATGCTTACGAAAATACCTACCTGTATATCCATGATTATTAATTTATGCTTACGAAAATACCTACCTGTTAAATCCTTTTAAATAATACAGGTTTGTATAAGCATGGTGCTACCTTATGTAAACAGAGCTTGTTATTTCCTAAATAATGGTTGTCTACACTATAGTTTGCAATTTCGTTTTAAATTGAGAAACGTGTTACTGCTAAAACTCACATAGTCAACTGAACAAAGTTAAAAATAAAATGAGCTAACACCTGTTCTAATTACTAATAAAAAAGTAAAAGACCCACCTTTTCCTTTAATTTCTTTTTCTTTTGCGAAGATTTTCTCTCATCTACGACTAGAGGCAGCTTGTCGAATTGTGGCGGTTCCGCCGTACGGAAGCCGAACAAAAATACGAGAGCCGCACATACTAACACTACTGCAACAGCTGCCGCGGGAAAGAAAAACTGCGTGCTGGACACTTGCCTCAAAAGTTCCATTTTATTAAATTGATTTGTGGCAGATATTAGTTAATAGTGAGCATACAGTGTAAAATTGAACTATGATAAACGTCGATTAAATTAAATCCCCAATGATAAAAGCAGACACGGGGACACGATGACGCGGCTGTGACGTGCCAAAAATCGTAATCAATTTTGTTGCTATCACAAAAAAAAAACTACAGGCTATAAAATACTGAAATGAAAATGACGCATTGGAATCGCATTCATTTTACTATTTATTTTTGTCCCACGATATCGTGAAATTTTATTTATACGTGGTATACACAGACCATACGAATCTATACGGATCATGATTGATAACTAAACGAATATAATATACAATAAATACATTATGCACTCTTATCGACACTCGTCACCCGGAGATCCAGAGTCACGACGCGACGTGTACAATACTTTATTAACTATTAACTAATCTGTGATCTGCACAGAAATAATTAGAAATAGAGTTTCTGCTGTTAACAATTATTTGTCAATGCTCAAAGTTGCTACAATCAAATGTCAATTACCATCGACAACAGAGTGACACACGTCACAATTCACATGCTAAGAGGTTATAATAAGATTCGGTGAATATTTATTAAATATCATCAAAATAATAAATGAAAAGCTTTCTCTAGTTGTACCTTTAGAAGAAAGTTAATAAATAACATTGGAAAAAATGCGTAAAATTAAGAAAAATAAGGAAAAGAACACTCAAAGTGAAATAATTAAAGATAATGAAATAGTAGATACCTCTACTAATGAAATCGAGGACAATGCGAAAACTGCCCTCAAAAGTGAAGACTATCGTAATAAGAGACCTTTAGAAGATCATGACTCTGATAGTGGTTCAGAAGTAAAGTCTAAGAAACCTAAGAAAAAAAAGAAACAGGTTGCACCAGTTGAAGAAACTACAGAAAATGGAAAGAAACAAAAAAAGTCAATACGTCAGATGAAGAAAGAACGGCATGCACAGAGACAGGCTGAAGTTGAATTGGCAGCTAAAGACCAACTGAAATCGCAATGCCTTAATTATTTGTCACAGTGGAAGCATAACAAGCAAAATTGGAAGTTTATGAAAGCTAAACAAGTTTGGCTTTACAAAAATAAATTTTCAAAACAACTATTACCTGAAAATTCATGGCCCCTTCTATTGGAGTACTTTGAATCATCTCAAGGCAATATAAGAAAAATGTTACTTGATGATGCAAATAAAATAATAAAACAAATGGATGACTGGACAGAGTCACAAGGTAAAAACAGTGACAATGAAACAGATGAAACAGATTCAAATAAACCAGATGATGTTACTTATAATAGAGCAAGAAATTTAATACAATGTTTACAAGAATGAAACAACTGTTTTATTCAAAATCTATTTTTTTAACTAATAACTGTAACAACAATAACATTATAATATGAATTATTAAGTGTTAGAATATAAGAGGTATTAATAAGATATTATGTTTTTACTTTGGCTTCGGAATCCTCAGATGTAAACTGGTTAATCCATTTTCTTAGTTTATCTGTATCTTGTAATCCCACTAAGCGCTCCTGTACTTTACCATTCTTTATAGCAACAAGAACAGGTACAGAACTAATATCATAGTCTAATGCAAGATCTGTCTGTTCGTCAATATCCACTTTAGCTAGAACAATTTTTCCTTTATTTTCTGATATTATAGACTCTAAGCGTGGAGTAAGAAGCCTACAGGGATTACACCATCTGCAAACAAAATTTAAATTGATGAACACTAATATTATAACATTGAAAATACATTACAACATGCAAATTATGATAGAATCTCTATTATTAATAGATAAATGATAAGGTGTTTTTAATATGACGCAACTTACGTAGCGAAAAAGTCGACGACCACTGGAACTTTACTATTAATAACTTTAGCTTTGAAATCTTCAGGACTTTGTATCTTTACGATATCCCTATTCACCTGGGTCACAGAGAGGTGTCTGAATATTGGCGTTGAAGCATTAAAATACCCATTGCGTATAATCAAAGATGTAGCGTGGCGGGTAAACATTTTTAACTTTAAAAAGAAATCCTGCTACAAATTAGATTCGTAATATTTACTTTAAAGTATTAAAAAGACACGCCAAATGATGAATGATCAATGATTACTGAAATTTTTTATTTCCTTAATCTTTTTCATCAATAAAATTGCTGACAAATGACAGAAGAAAATGTTAAATGTTGTTGTTGGCTATTTGACAGTTTAATAAATTATTGAGAGTAATCTGTATAAAACCTTCTATCTTCTTCTGTATAATACCTTCTAGAAAAAAAATCATTTATCGAGAAATCCATAACTAAAAATATTCATTTTTATACGTCAGTCACGTTACGTGAGCAAACGGTCGAAGTCGAATCGATGTTAATGTATCATGTCTGTCTGATCATATTATGTCTAATCCTAATAAGTGCTACTTTGGATTAATTTCGTAGGAGACTGTTTTTGATCGAAATATAATGTGATGAAACTTGACGTTTTTTTTTGTATGGAATCTCGCTGTTGGCCTTAAGGCCGGGACTCCACCAAAGCAGAGACGAGACGAGCAGAGAGGAGATGTTTTTCAAACAACCAATAAGAATTGTGTTATTGACACATCTCCTCTCCGCTCAGCTTCAATGGAGATCGCTATGCGGAGATGTTTTATATTTGTATGGCACGATGGAAGCGGAGATGTGAGCTGTGCGCGGACGACGCGCAGTGGAGACGAGAGATGTGAGCAGCGAAAACATTCATCATCTAACTCATTAAACAGAGTTAAAAATTCTCCTATAGTAATTCAAGTGACTTCTTCTCCAAAACCGATGTTTTCTTTTCTTTAGGTAGTATAAAGCTATCAATTCTGCTTCTTCAGACTGTAGTTCTTCTTCTTCAAGTAAAAGAAGATACTTTTTATGTAATAATAGCGACATCATCTTCGACCTTTCGTGTCAGAATGCGTACTAAGCACTCAACGCCTCACACCCGAGCTGAAAAACATCTCTTCTCGCACAGCAAACCGCATAAATCTCCGCTTTGGTGGAGTCCCGGCCTAAGGGCTTTTAGAGCACAGCTCGGGTTGTTTTGGCGAGAATCAGCCGGAATGGGCGTTTTCCCGCGACTAGCGCAAGGCCGTCTCCTGCGAGACTGGAACCTCGGCTTGGGCCGACGCGGGGTGGTCAATAGCACGAAGGGCAGGACTAAAGCTCACTAGAAAAAAATAAAAATGTGATTATTCATTATAATTTATAAGTATAGGCATTACAATGTGTAAGATTTGGGATTTAAGTAAAAAATACCTGTCTCAGGATTCCCAGCACTTCCATAACAAACTTAACCATTATAAATTCCTTAATATACATAATTTAATTACATCTGTTATTTTAATTATGTTTTTTTTTTTTTTTTGTTTTTTTTTATAGAACGGGGGGCAAACGGGCAGGAGGCTCACCTGATGTTAAGTGATACCGCCGCCCATGGACACTCAATGCCAGAGGGCTCGCGAGTGCGTTGCCGGCCTTTTAAGAATTGGTACGCTCTTTTCTTGAAGGAACCTAAGTCGAGTTGGTTCGGGAATACTTCAGTGGGCAGCTGGTTCCACATAGTGGTGGTGCGCGGCAAAAACTGCCTTGAAAAACGCTCAGTTGTGGAACGGCGGTCGTCGAGGTGATACGGGTGGAATTTCGTATTCTGCCTCGACGTCCGATGATGAAACTCAGCTGAAGGTATTAATCCGAACAACTCCTCTGAACACTCTCCATGGTAAATGCGGTAGAAGATGCAGAGTGACCCCACATCTCTACGCAACGCCAAAGGGTCAAGCCGCTCGGAGAGGGATTGGTCGTCGACGATTGGAACCGCTCTGCGTTGTATACGGTCAAGTGGAAGGAGCTGGTACTGGGGAGCCCCCGCCCAGAGGTGAGAGCAGTACTCCATGTGGGGCCGAATTTGCGCTTTATATAGTTGCATGCGGTGGCCCGGAGTGAAGTACCGTCTCGCCTTGCTGAGCACACCAAGCTTTTTGGAGGCTAATTTAGCCTTTCCCTCCAAGTGACCGCGAAACTGAACGTCGCTCGATATGTCAACGCCAAGTATTCCAATGCTGGCTGTGGCTTTAAGAAGAGTGTTTTCGAAAAGAGGAGTAGCGACAAAGGGTGTTTTTTAGCGGAAATTTCAACTGTTTTCAGTAAGTAGCATGAGTGTGTGTTTGGGTGCATGTTAGTGAATCAGTAAGTGTGTGAGTGAGTGAGTGAGTCAGTGAGTGAATGAAGAAGTGTGTAACTACAAATTCTCAGGTCTCAGAAGTCAGAAGCATCTCCAACACTTCGTAACGTGTATTCATAAGCCAGCCAATGTTTAATTTGAATTTATATAAGTTCTATAGTAGGTAACTATTTAATCATTGGGAATAGTTTTTCAAATCTTGTCAAATAGCGTGTCTATCGCAGTACCATATTATGTAAAAAGTCTATATAACTAGTAGGTAGTGATAGGATTTTTCTTTATATTTATATTCAACCCATGGATCGAATCGCATTCACTTGTTCTGATCTAATTAATATATTTTTATTAATGAAATTATAACACTAACTAAATAATTTAAAAAACAGCTTCGGAAATAATTAGCTAGAACTATATTTTAGAACAAAAGTTTATTGCCGAAAAAAGAATATGTGTAACAATTACATTATACGTCACTTTGAGTTTAACCGTTTATGCAACGCACGCCTTGAAAGCTCTCAAAGTATATGATTATATATGTAGGGTCGGTTGTAACCAACCAGGAACATTGAACCACCACCATGTTGAAAAAACTGCGAGGTTGTCAATTCGACCGATCATGTTAAAACTTCTCTCGTAGGCACCCTTCCCCTCTCCCGTAGCTAGCCGGTGGCCGCGGCTTAAGTGTGACGTATGACAGCGGTTTGTTTGTTTCTCGCCAAAAAAACATAGATTTCTCACGTATCTCGATTTTTATATATTTTGTTATTAATTCCAGCACCAAAAGCATTATGGTGTCGATATTGTTGTAGTTTTAGACGTTTTATGAGCATATTGCTTTGTGACAATTTAGCCTACAACCTATTTTTTTTAAATATTATATGTTGAATAGTGTGTGTATTGAACAGTGAACCAGGTTCGCATAGTACACAGTGAACCGGTTCACTGTGTACCTTACGATCCTGGTTCACTGTTCAATGATAGTGTTATGCTGAAAATCAATAATATTTTTGATTGTTTTAGGATGCCAAGGCCAAGAAATAAGGAAAGAAAAATTAGAAAACACAATAAAGAGGATATGATGTCAGCATTACTAATGATAGAAAATGGTAGCTCCATTAGGACGGCGGCAAAAACCAGTAAAATTCCCTACCCTACATTGCGCCGTTACGTTAAAAAAAACGTCAACATGGTGATAATATATCTTTTGAACCGAGGTATGATATTAGTAAAGTGTTTACTGAAGAACACGAACAAATATTATTAAAATATTACAAAGACTGTGCACTAATGTTCTACGGTTTGACCATCAAAGAATGTAGGAAGGTGGCTTACGGAATGGCAAAGGTTAATGGCATTGAAATACCCAGCTCATGGGAAAGGGATAAAATGTCAGGTTTGGGATGGTTTCGCTTATTTAAAAAAAGACATCCTGATATTTCAGTAAAGAAACCAGAAGCTGTAAGTCTCGCACGAGCTACCTCATTCAATCGGGAAGCTGTGGCAATATTTTTTAATAATTTGGAGGAATTGCTAAAACGGCAGCCTAGATTCGTGGATGGAACTCGAATATTTAATCTTGACGAAACCGGCACAACAACCGTCCAGAAACCACAGAGAGTTGTGGCTCCAACAGGAGCTAAAGTAGGTAAAGTGACAAGTGGAGAAAAAGGCACTCTTGTCATTTTAAATATTCCTTCAATGTAAACTTATCTTTACTAAGTATGGTGTAAATATTTACCTACTTTGACGCATTTTGATTTGATGTGAAGTTAACTGCAGCGAAGACTATACGAAACCTTTATAATTTGAAACTTTAATTATTGATATGTTATGTTTATTTTTTGCTGAATTTATTATTATTATTACCATAGAAAACCATTTTTTTTTTTGAAGTTATACTTCTTTAGGCGCGTTATGAAAAATTTATGAGAGTGAAATTTTATAATGCGCGCGCACCTGTGACACAAAATTAGGAGTGTGATTATAGCGTGCGCGAGCGAGATAGGAATAAGACAATCTACAAGTAAAAAGAAATAGAATATGCGTGAAGTTCGTATGCCAAGAATTTTGAATGAACATAATGACATTTGTCATTTACCTTTTAAACAAATAAAGGAGTTTTAATTATTTTTTCAAAGAAATTTAGCAATGCTTTTTGAATTATAATCAGAAGTGATTTAAATTGAATATTTAAACCAATACTAATTAATATTTGTGAAAAAACTGTGCTCATCAACCTTCCTAAGTGCTTCAATACAATTGAGGTTAACTATCCGTATGTATTATTAATATCGAGTAATGTTTTGATTAAAAAATTTCTTAAAAACTAAAATTAACCACATTGTTTAATCAAAACATGTAATTTTTCTGATTTAATCTAGCAAATATAAGGACAAGAGACAAAAAACAATTGATGAATCAGTGTAAGTGCACTAAATGGAATACAAAAAAAGAGTTGTCATCTTATCGCTGTGAAACATCTGGAGGTGGAACAAAGCCAAACTATTTTTAATAATGCCAAAGAAGTATAACTTCTTACGCGCGTACATAAGTACACGCACCTTTTTTTTTTGTTATTAGAATTAATATTTTTTTTATTGTATTTTGTACAACAAAAATAAAAGACGATTATCAAAAATTTTATGGTGTCTTTTCACAAATAAGGATTTTTACTGGTAACGACATTGTGGTTCACTGTTGAAATACAGGTGGTTCAGTGTATACTCCCTATAGTACACAGTGAGCCAATTTTTGTTTTTTTTTTTAAACTTAATTTACGGTCTTAATTTTTTTTTCTGGCTTTCTGTAACCTGAATATGAGATACTGTATAAAATTGCCTAAACCATGACACCAAAACGAAATTCTTAACTTTTATTTCTTACAAGTTATATGACTTAGAAAAAAGGTTGGTTCACTGTTCAACAACGCACCCTACTTACTTACTCCGATGGCCTAGCTACCCAAAGTGAGCCTTACTCCCCGAAACTATACCTTTGCCAATCGCAAGCTACCATTTGTCGAGCCGAGTGACTACGATGAAAGCCGTGAGAATCGCTATTCAGCAATCAAATACCCCAGGAGCTGGCCGTTATTAATGTTTTCCATTATTTTGGAGAACAAGCAAGTTATAGCTATTGGTCGACAGCTGGACGGATCAGAGCGATCCCCTTTTTAAGAGATCTGATGTATTGAAGCACTTCGGGACAGTACCGAGCAAAAACAGGTAGCCGTTTCGATGTGCACGAGGAGTCGGTCAGTTTCGACATTTTCGCTGTGGCACGCGTAGCATGGCGGATAGTCATCGCAGTATATACGCGGCCAGAGGATAGAAAGCTCCGCTCCACTCCTTGCCGCCCCTGGAATTACACTCACCACACAAAACGCAAGTAGAACAGGGTGATCTTATTGCATCACTTTATGCCATTTTTCTGTGAGATAGTGGTACTGCCCCGGTCGTGTCTACATATTTGGCTGAAGCCGAAGGCAACTAACTGCACGGCAGTCCCACTAGGAAAAGAGAATTGACCGATAGCGCTGGTGAAATAACCTCTAATCTCTATCACAGGTTATTGCACAAATAGGCGATGGGTTTGTCACGTCTACGCCGAGGTTTAAATTAGATGAGATATTTTATAATAATATTGCTTTTTTTTCCTAAACTAGATGCAATTTATGGCCTTATTTTGTATAATTGTGTATTTTTTGTAAAAAAATATATATAATGATTATGTATAATGTACATTATACTATATTACTATCATTATCTATATTACGTTATATCTAGACTACAATCTTAATATTTCTTGACATGTTCCAATCGAACCATCATTGGGATAATTTAGATCTTCGAATCGGAACATCACGGTTAGTGGCCTGTTTTATGGCTGCGATACAGTCTCAGATAATTGATAAAAAGCAATAAGGGCGAGTACACATTAGGCGCTCGGCGTTGAGTTAGACGCGCGTTGGTAGCGTACATACAGCGCGCTTAGCACGGCGTTTTACGAGCGTTAGCAAGGCGTCCATACTCGGCTCAGTTCTGAAATGGACGTCGAAGTGATTTGTTGTGTGTGGCTTCTATACCGTCGCTACAGAAGACGACGGCAGAGACAATGATAATATTGGGTACACTTAATACTACGAGATAGACTGACGCATGGAATGTTTATAACATTGTATCCCAAATTAAGACAGTATGAAACTAAGTTTTTTAATTATTTTAGAATGTTCATAAAATCCATGAATTGCGTCCACTCTACACGAAAGCGCGCGTTCAAATGTACAACAAAATGGGGGCTCATGTATCTCGAATCGCGCGGCTGACGCCCTCCCAACGCGCGTTGAACGAAAATCTCAAAGCACGCGTCGAACGCTTGAGATTGCGTTGAGATTTTGATTTCGCTTGCGTGTGTACACCCAGATAAGAACTACTGGTTCTCAAAACGCGCGTTACCAAAGCGCGCACTTCAAAACGCCTAATGTGTACTCGCTCTAAGTAGATATGCCGTCAATGCCACGCAATTAATCTCCTAGAAAGGGACAGTTATACTTTTTTGCCACAGACGAGGTAAAACTTAGAAAATAGTAAGTACCTTTGTTGTCTGTGCCTTGTGATGCCTTTTGTAATTTGTTGGCAATAGGGTCATTTTATATAGTTTTCCAAATACATTAAAAATAAATACTGATACCTATATGGTTTGTTTATAATAAATTACTACCAAGTTAAGTGACATTAAAATGTATTCAAGCGACGAATATAACGAAGTAAGAACTATCACCATATTCTTGTTCAGTACATAACCTAATAATTTAGTGATTATAAGGTTAAGAAAAATAGTATTTTCCTAAAAATATATCTATTTTATTTGAAATTTGGTAATATTTCTAGCAGACAATACTATGTTTTGTGTGTTAGTTGCAACTTACTGTGAATGTTAACATTTATCATTTTAGCTACCAAAATAAACCCTAACAGTTAACAAGGCCTTTCTCACCGGAAAAATTATTTAAATTTTGATAATAGACGCAATATTATATGTAAAATATTATTATCTTAACTAATTTCGTAAAAAACCGGGGTACCGCCTTTAAAAGCTTAGATCGTTGACTCTGTCGCGTATAGTGCGTGATAAGTTAGTTCCATAATAATATTTAATAACTAATTCTAAATTTAAAATCATAAAATTTATTAAAATAATATATTGTTACAGGGTGGGTATGAATCCCATGGGGACTATGAACCCCATACAGGAGATCCCCAATATGATCTTGACCATGACAGATCATATTATCAAATGCCAGAAATGGTATGTATTTTAAAGTATTTTGAAAGTATAATCTTTAAGCTTATATATGAGTTACAACATGATCTATTGTATAGTTCTAAATAATAGATTGCCTAGAACAATTCACACAGATTGTACTGTAGCAAATTTCATATATGTTATGTTTTTTCTGAATAAATTGTATAATATGTAACATCAATATTACAGGTGCAAAAATTCCTTATCTACTTCAGAAACATGATAAATGAAGGTGTAACATATGAAATTTTGAATCTATATGAGAATACCTTTCCCAAACTTACTGAAAAACATTTTGAAAGTACTCCATGGCCTGATGAAAAAAGAAGTAGCATCAATTGTTGATAATGATCATGTAAGTGTTCAAAATTACATTTATTCATTTAGTTACTTCAAATTGAAGATATACATACACCATGCATTACATAGTATTAATTCATTTATATTATTTATAAATATTGAGCGTATGTGCCTTATAAGTTACAACAATCTGTCAATCAGTCTGCATAATGAGTTTTCCACTTCAAGTCTAAAACCACTACACACATTCTCTCCTATGGATATAAAACAAATTTTTCTATAATTTATCTTAAAGTTAACTTTTTCAGGTATTCATGATTCTCTACAAAGAATTGTACTTCCGTGATATTTATGCACGTGTCCCAGGTGGTCCAAAGCCAGAACAAAGATTTCTTTCTTTCTACAATTACTGTGATCTCTTCAACTATATATTGTCGGCAGAGACACCTGTACCATTAGAATTGCCTGACCAGTGGTTGTGGGAATTGATTGATGAGTTTGTGTACCAGTTCCAATCTTTTGCTCAATACAGGTAAGTTCAAAAATTTATATTTACATTATAAAGCCGGGCCTACGCCTGGATCGGGTCTGGTTTCTTTGTAAAGACGCTGGAGAAGCTGGGGTATCTGAAGATACAGAGCCAGGTGTCCTTATCTACATTCTTACACCCAAATCAACAGGCATACAGCTAGTCCAAATCAACGGAATCAAATCAAATTGGTAACTCTGAAATCAGAGCAGCCAACACTTGGAGCATTTATTTACATAAAAGGAGCCTTTGACAAAACTAATTTCTCTAGCATAACCAGAGCACTAGGAACATTTAAAGTGCTATCAACAAAATGTCAAAACAACAAGCTATGCAGTTCACTGTAAATACCACTGCACAAGGTATTGTCAGCACAGATTGCCCACAAGGTGGTGTTGTATCAACACTACTGTGGTATCTAGTAGTTAACGAGCTCATTACAGAACTTAATGCTATCAGTCTCTACACGGTAGGGTATGCTTATGACAAAGCTATCTTGGTATGGGAGAACTTATCTCATAAGGAGGGCCTTCCGAATGATTGAGAGAAGGTGTACTGAGCATGAATCTGTCAACAGATAATAAATAAAAGTAATCCTATTTTTCAACTGAAGAGTTCCTGGGCCCTACAGACATCCTAAACTCTTCAACATAGAAATAATTCTCAAGGAGAAACTCAAATACTTAGGTGTGATTCTAGAAAGCAAACTCCTCTGAAACAAACATCTGGAATACAAACTAAATAAAGCAACAATAGCCTAAAATAACTCGGTCGTAATTAGGCCCATGCTAACTTATAGAGCCTTCGTTTGGTGGCCGAGATCGGAACTCCGAACGGCAATCACGTAACTACGATGCTTCCAGAACCTCGCTTTGTCCGCGGCCAGCACTTGCATTAAAACAACGCCAACAGCAGCGATGGAGATAGGCCTGCAAATTGTACCCCTAGACCTCAGCAGAGCATCAGACTTAATATAGACATATAGTCACACCATGTGATAGGATCGCTAATCAACACAATTTGTAACAGGAAATTTCAGGTACGAATGAGAGAAGTGGAACATGATGAATCGACCCTGAATCAGCTACGTTTATAAACTGATGGTTGAAAAACAGGGTGTATCTCCGGCGCTCAACATCAACATACATTTTGATCTTTGACCTTTAGGCACAAAGCTAGATCTATCAATGTGAGATGTTTCGCTCTTCCAAGCAGCCAGAGTGAATGTCTGTGCTGGTGGCGTTAGAAAACAAACTAATACTGCAGTGTTACCATGCACTGGAGGCAATAATCCTGACAAACAGGGTTACCCTACACCGGATAAAAGGACACAGTGGATCTCTCGGCAATGATGCTGCCGACGAAGTTGAGAGAGGATCTGGAAGGCTAGTACCCGCTCCTTCCTTTGGCATTCTCGTAATAGCGAACTTAAATTCGCCAAAGATCCATAGCACTCCAACTGACTGCAGATAGTCCAAAATGGCATTGCCATCCTCAACAGAATTAATGTCAAAATGCCCTATCATTACAATTTGACAATTACGTGCCACTGCCTCTTCACTGGAAACTTCTGAGCTTCTGGAAGGAGCTAGGCTCGGTTAATTAGCCAGGACTTTACGCCCAACGGAATAAATGGGCGTCTAATTGCGGAAACTGAGTCCACATACATGCGAGTCAGTTCGGTAAATACATTCGGGTGTGTAAATATAAAATAGCAAGGTAGAGGATCCGAATACAACAAATGCCCTTTGCTTGGGTTTAGTCTTAAAGTTTTTCTTTTAGGCTTACAGTTGAAACAAATTTGAGCAAAAAATTCTTTAATCCCAATATAACATATTAATTTTTTTAGGTCTCGTACTTCCAAACTGAGCCCTGCTGAAATTGAAGCCCTCAACACTGATAATAAGGCTTGGAATGTTCTTTGTATTCTGAATGTTTTGCATTCTCTTGTAGACAAGTCTAACATCAAACGTCAACTTGAGGTAATTCTTGTTTTAAAATATATATATTTTGGTAAATTACGTCAATTTTAGGTATTAGCTGACTCTGGAATCCCTACACTGTCTTGACTGCAATGAACAGCTCAGAACCTTTTAGTGATCCCTATTTTATAGGCTGTGCGTTAAAAATGTATAAGATATAGTTCGCGCTAAGTCTTGTTTCTAAATCTTACCTGGAAACTCAAACTCTGAGAACTTTAATTAGACAAGGTGGCTTAAAATACAGTTTAAACTCTTTATAACGTCATTCGTAATGAAATAGTCTTTATAACGTAAAAATGAGTTAAACTTATGTGGTTTTACCCAATTCCTATACATGAATTGGTCCCTCCCTATAACGAATAGAAATGTTCGGTCCCTTGAAATTCTTTATAAAGAGTTTACACTGTATATTCTTTCTAATAGTAACTAATACTAATTTTTAGGTTAATGCATAAATGCCGAAGAATATTAGCATCAAATGTTATTTCATTTCCTTACAAACGTTGTGTAAAAAAAAATGGCGATTAAAAAGAGTGGCGGAGAGTTTATTGCCAGTTCTTTTCTTCCGTTCTACGCCCTTGATTTGAGAACTGGCAGTAAATGTAAAATAAGAAGCATTAATATGTATTTCTTTACTGGCAAGTCATAAGTGTACATTATGTTACTTACATGATTAAATGATTTTTTTACTTTACTCAAATATACATTTTTTCCAGGTGTACGCTGCAGGCGGCGACCCAGATTCAGTGGCTGGTGAATTCGGCCGACACTCGCTCTACAAGATGTTGGGATACTTCTCTCTGGTGGGATTACTCCGCTTGCATTCATTGCTTGGAGACTACTACCAGGCTATAAAGGTAAATATTTTTATCTGTCCTGAGTAATACATTGAGGCTGAAATCTTAAATCAATAATTTAATTATGAAAGACTTGGTTTTCAATCAATATTAAGGTAGAAGTAATGGAAGACAAGCAAATCCCGAATATAGTGTAAACTCTATATAACGACACTAAAAGAACTATTTTAACGTTACAAAGAGTTGCCTTTAAAAGGAAATAAAGAAAAATCTGTATTAGAAAAAGAAAGTTTATTTCAGACTAGTGTTAGTAATTACATAAAAACAATGATAATAATTCGTATTTGAACGCTATTGCGTTGTCTGTTATTTTTTTACTGTACCAATATTTTTTTACTTATTTAATTCATATCTTGCGATATTCAGGCATCTTCGTAATAAAGCATGCGCAATTTGTAAAAAAAGAATGGATTTCTT